TATCAACGTCTCCTTCGTTGATATCTGTCTGGTTTATAGATTATTTTTGTTACACACATTAGCACTTATAAAATCTTTAGTTCTAATTTTAGAATCCTTTAAAATTTTCCTCTAAATTTTAAATTTAAAATTGTCAGGGTTACTTGCCCTACGTCTATAGCGCTGCAGCGTCTAGTTCTTGTTTCCAGCACTGTACAGGTGTTATTTTGTGTAGTCTCCCTGTGTGTGTGTGTGTCGCTGCTATTCTTTACTACGTGTAAAAATAAAGAATAGCAGCAGCACGCACACAGGGAGACTACACAAAATAACATATGTACAGTGCTGGAAACAAGGACTAGAAGCTGCAGCACTATAGACATAGGGCAAGTAACCCTGGCAATTTTAAATTTTAAAATTTTAAAATTTAGAGAAAAAAATTTGAAACAACTTAAGTGCTAACGTGTGTAACAAAAATAATCTATAAACCAGACAGATATCAACGAAGTAGATTTTGATAATAACAACGAAAGGAACAGTATGTTTTTAAATGTTAAATTTTAAACTAAGTGCAGTGTAACAGCAACGTGAGTGTATACACCTGATGATGGCCGTTTGAGGCCGAAACATCTAGTGTAAAGGAGAGCAAGATCAAGGACATATAATATATTGTTTGCACTTAGGACGGAGTTCATATCATTTATCTTATAGAGTGCAACAGGATGCTTAAATATAAAATTTTAGTAATGTAACTGTTTCGATGATATGGCTTGCCAGTGTGTGTGGAATGGCAAGGTGTGAATTTGACAGTGCTTGCTCCATGACCTGTGTGTGCTGTCCTGACAACGTGAGCTATCTGTGTGAGGCCTGATTATATATTTTATTGGACCAAGGACAAATGATGTGTAGTCATCATGAATTTGTAATATGTGACATGTTTTATATCCAGCCCTAACTTGTATAACTTGATCATAACTTGTACTCTTCTCCAAGTATAAGTAGAATGATCAAGTCAAGGAGGATGAGGTGGGCAGGGCATGTAGCACGAATGGGGAGTTGAGGAATGCATATAGGATATTGTTGGTGAAAAGCCAGAAGGAAAGAGACCACTGGGAAGACCAGGGCGTAGTTGTGTGGGCAATGTTAAAATGGATCTTAGAGAAATAGGATGGGCTGATACGGATTGGATTGATCTGGCTCAGGAGATGGACCAGTGGAGGGCTCTTGTGAACACGGTAATGAACCTTTGGTTTGCATAGAATGCTAGGAAATTCTTGAGTAGCTGCAGAATTGGTGGCTCCTCCAGAAGGGCTCAGCTCCATGAGTAAGTAAGTAAGTGATATTTCACGGCAGAGTATTAAATAGGTTGACGCCTGAATAATACGCCCCTCTCTAATAGGATGATAAAAGTGTTGAAGGTATATGAAGGTGGTCATTCCTTCTGGTCCCAATC